AACATTGAACTTAGTCTTAGTACAAGCCATTTTCAAAATATTGCCTTTACTCCTACTGAAATTACTTTTCTTTCTTCACAACAACCTCCTTAGGTTTCTTTAAACTCCCAGCCTCATCAAAGTCTTTCATTAGACATCTCTTAAGAGGAACAGCTACAACCTCAACACCTAGATCCTCAGGAATTTCATCAAGCCTAGCACATTGCTCCTGCTCAAAGTCTTCAGAAACATCATCCAGCCCAACACACTCTTCATCATCATTCACAAACACCTGCAAGTTGAAAAAAACATCCTTAACAATTAGGTACTAAATGTTTGTCAGTTACAAATCAATTCAGCTTCTATTTTAGATATGTACCTCACAGCTTTGCCCAACATCCAAAGAACCACCTATCTCAATGATACCATCTCAGATGGGCTGCAACCTAACAAACCTGAGCAGTGCTGTGTAAGCACTGCCTCATCCCTACAAACACTGAGCACAGTGAACGCGGAGTAACAACTCTCTACTTGGTCCTTCTTCATAGCTATGCGGAATAGCATAGACATCCCACGCAAACGTCCTAGCTCCGATGGAATAGAGTTATTACCCTAGGAAAATTAAAGTAGACCTACTGTGTCAAGATTTAGCATAAAAAATCAGCTAAGAAGATTAAATAAAAAAATTACATACCCCAGGATACTTATCCTTTTTTTTATATATATCTTGGATGGGGGAGACCCCAAAAGAAACAACTGAGAGTTTACGCTGTATTACACACATGGCGCCAAGAGGGCAACCCCATAATGTCATCTTCTACTATGCCCATTATTGCTACAGGAGGATCATCTAGTATATGAACACCTTTGGGAAAATTCCTCGCAAGCTTGGCCAGTTTATCTGCTGCTTGGTTTTGTTCGCGGGATATATTAGTCACATCCTAGACCTCTAACCTTCACAATTCCTTCTTGCATCCTTCAAGGATGTTGTGGGCGGCCGTCGTTGGTTGTCTCGAATCAGTCATATAGTTCACCAACAGAGAAGAATCTGATTCAAGCATAGCTTTTTTAACTCCCATTTGTATGGCAAGCTGAATGCCCTTTAAAAGTGCCCAAGATTCCGCTTCAGATGGGGTGCAGTTTCCCATGTTAAACATGAACCCTTTTTTCCAGCTGCCATTAGTGTCTCTGATAATGCCTCCACAAGAAGCCCTGCTTGTCAATAGGTCCACCGAGCCATCCACGTTTATTTAAACGAAGTCCTCTTTCGGTTTGGACCATGAGAGCATCTTCCAAATGCTGGACTCATCTGCCGCAACTCGTCCCAAGGCTCTATCAAAGGCTGTTGTTGTCTCCTTGGCTTGCATCTTGATCTATAGTATCTTATACTGTAAGGGTCTCGATGATCCATTGATAATACTCTTTCGTTTCTCCATTTCCAAATCCACCAAAGGTTTGTGGAAAACAACGTGCTTTTACTTGCTGGTTCTCTTCCTATCCTTTTATTAGATAGGCCATCTTCCAACCATTCTTGAAAGGGGACCTCCTTCATTCTCTCATAATCAAGCCGGGATCTTGTTTTCCATATTTCCTCTGCTGCCGGACAACGCCTAAGGACATGCTCAATGTCTTCGGCCTTGGTGTTGCATAAATCGCACTTGTCGCAATCCGTTAGTCTTTGCCTAGCTCTGTTACTGTTGCACATTATTCTACCATGCTTAACAAGCCGAAGAAATGTTCGAATACAGTTAGGTACCTTCAACTTCCATATGCTATTCCATTTTGCAGCTTCTACTGGTTCCAACATTTCTGTGGCGATGTCGTATGCCGAAGCAACCGAGAATCCTCCGGAGTCTTCCATTTTCCAGCATATATTGGCATTCCTTTCCCCTTCCTCATGAATGAGATACAGAGCCAGTTTGTTTAGAGTTTCCGCCAGTAACAAATGGGTAAGCTCATCCCACTGCCAACCTGAATCTGCCTGCCAGTAGCTGGCCACAAGTCGTCCCTGATCAGAAGTTGGTATTGTCCTAGTTGCGTGCTCTAGTAGTGGGGCTTCTTCTAGCCATTCCTGTGTCCAAAATAGAGTGTTGCGTCCATTTCTCACATGCCTTTTGATTCCTTTCTCCAAAATTGGGATGGATTTTAGAATTCCTTTCATCGCATTGGACATGTTGCTCCTAGCTTGCCACAGTCGACAATCAACATCAGAAAGATGGTATTTTGCCTTAAACATTCTGACCCATAGGCTATCATCCCCTTGTAGGATTCTCCATCCCAACTTAGCCATGAAGGAATGATTCATCGTTTCTAACCTCTTGATTCCCAGCCCACCATGAGCCTTACTTTTGGTTACCGTCTCCCAATTAACAAGGTGAGCTTTCTTGCCACCACTGTCACCTCCCCATATAAAGCTCCGGATTAATTTCTCTATGGCTGAATTGGTTGGTATAGTAGCTGGTGATTTAGCACTGAATTGGTTGGTATAGCAGCTGGTGATTTAAAGGATAGTTATCCTTTAAATCACCAGCTGCTATACCAACCAATTCAGCACATTCACGATCCCATATAAGCATAGGAGCATCTCTAGTATCATCCACAACACGAACTATCAGTCTATACCTCACAACTCCTTGCCAATAGTTCTTACACCCAGCATAGTAGAGCACTCCACCACTTTCAGAGAACTTTTTCTTGCAAGAATTAGTCTTGCAAGAAATATAGTACCAATCACATAGACTCTCAACACCAACAATTCGGCCGGCTACCCAATACTCCCCCAACTGCTCAGGAAAAAACAATAAACCTACAGTTACTCCAAGCCATATATGCTAACCTAATAAATTGTTAAAAGCATCCATCTATAGTTACCTAATTTTATAGTTTAGGTAACTATAAACAAACATAAATAGATTATATAAGGATAAAATCATAGCTTATAAGATTTGATCCCTAGATCTTTACCATCAAGCCATTTACTTATTCTTATTTCTTATCAGAACAGTATGGAATCTGCAAGTACTATTTTTGCCTTATTAATCTTTGTTTCTGCTATTGGACAGTAACACATGCAACCATGAAAAAGGATTTGCTTATTATTCTTTCTTACTCCTTTAATGCAGGCAGTCAGCCGATATTTGTTGCCTTCTTTTAAGGTAAACAACAGGCCTTCTGGGTTCCCATTCTCAGGAATGTGAAGATAGTATCTAGATATATATATATATATATATATGCAGATAGAATTTTATTAAAAACTAATGATAAAATTCAATCACAGATTTGTAAAATAGAATTGCATATTTAATATATAGCTACAGGAAAGAACAAAATTTGTCACTTCAAACAATAACATTTATTGCTGATTTTAATTTCTTTCAATTGCATAATTTTTTCTAGAGTTTAAATATATTTCTACTTCAAAAAAATGGTGCAGATTTCACACAGGTAAAGCAAATCAGGAATATATTGTAGATGAAATATTAACTCAATATTTCATAGACTTTGAATATACAATAGCAGGTATGCTTCCATTGTACCTTTATCTTCAACATCGTGTTTTCTTTTTCCACATATGATAGTTGACCCCGTCAATTTCTTCATTGTTCTTGCAATCTTAACTATGAACTTACAAAACTTTTGTTTGGGAATGAATATAGAGGGTAGCTCTTTGTCTCTTAAATGACATGTATATATAGATACCAACTTTTAGAGAATTGAAAAGTCACTATCAAATATTAGTATATTAGAGTCAAAGCTTACCATCAACAATTCATGCCCAGTAGTAGGGCTAGGTACTTAGGTGTATGGAAAAAGTAGTAAAATTGTGTAACTTGTATTGTACTCAAAGAAATCTGATAGCTTGTTTTTGTACTTTTAAAAAACAAATAAATTATTTAAATATTATGTCATATTTTAATACTTTATTATTATAATAAGGAATATATATTACCTTCTATCAAATTTCAATTTATAATAAATTATTACTCACAATTATAATAAGTATTTACATATATTTATAGTCATACTTCAGTAAGAATTTATAGATTTATATTCATATTTCAATAACTTTTTATCCATACTCATATTTTATAAGTGTGTGTATGTATGTATATATATATATATATATATATATATATATATATATATATATATATATATATATATATTGCAATTATTTAACCCAGCTTGCAATATCATACCTCCCAATCAGCTTTATTTTCACCCAAGTAGTTTGTGAAAGGCTTCTAGCCCCAAGGACAATTCACATGATTCACAATTGTAGCAAATGCTGACATTGACTGCAAATAAACAACAGTAATGTATCAATAAAAGAAATTTAAAAGTGTCTAAATCTCTTTCTCAGAACAGATAGTGTTGGTTAACCATTTGGGGCATCTTAACCATGAAAAACTATACCAATTTGATGGGCACTTGACCCATTCCCTTCCTCATGTAATTCTGATCACACACACCATGTAAATGTAGTGAAGATGTCTCAAAACTGTGATTAACACATAGCTATAACAGGTTTTGTTGGAAAGCAAATGAGTAACCATTTCTTTTGTTCAAGAACATGAAATTAACTTACCTTAGCTTGTACTTGTCCAAGTTTTTGAGGTAGATTGTTAGTGCTCCATGCCCACCCATTGAGTGTGACCATAGATGGATGCCCTTGATGTATCAAGGTGCAGAAAGTGTTCAAAAAGTCCTGCCAACTCCTTAACAACATAGTCAGAAAAATCATGCACCTACTCCATTAAATTCATTAATAATCTAACTTTCTTATTTTTGTCTCTTAATTCATTTCTTAATGATTTCTACTCTTTTTTTATATCTCAGCAACTGCCATTCACTACAGAAAGATTAGCAAGCCATGCAGTAGATGAGACAAATATTGAAGCTAAATATTGACATCTAGATCATGTGGTAAGTAAAAACATGGCACTTTTATATATTACATTATTGATTATCCTACACTTGGCTATGAACATACTTGCAATGTGAAATATGTGAAATCACAGACTGCTTGAACTTGTACTTGTAATTTGTTCCTATTTTAGGATTTGTTTAATAATATGTGCATGTGTTATATATATGTAAGTGATACTTGTTTGTGTATTTGCATAGGAAAACCAGCATAAAACCATAAATACTTTACTTGAAATTAAAACAACCATTACATACTACTTTGAAATGGTTAGCCACTGCATACCCATGCAGTGTCCACAATCTGTTCCTATATTTGATTTTTGAAGTAGTAATATATAAATAACAAACCTCTTGACCATGGAACACACTTTGACTTCTTATGAGTTTTTCTCTCTTGCTTTTAGTGACAGAGTTCCGCACACAACGCACACAACACAACCTTATGGCCCACAATGAAGCTGTGGTCTATTGAGAATGAAGCTCCGCACCCACAATGAACTGCCCAAACATGCCGTTGATTCCAGAAGCTTTGTGTTTGCATAGAGGATCAAGACTCTCAAACTTGTATTTCTTTTTCTTCGCATTTGGTTGCATAGGCAATCAGGACTCTCAACACATGTATTTATAATCGCGGAAGTTAGATTGCGTAAGATATAAAATAATACTAAATCTCTGCACTCCCATACCCAGGTACACTAAAATCACACGCTTCCTAAGCACATTAGGATACCAACTCTGCAATAGCCCACTCCCCTACTTTTCAGGCCTAAGACCATGTCTTTCTGATTACACACTAAATAGGCGGGAGATGGATGAATTTGATTTGCGTAACAGTAAACAAAAAAAAAAACGGTGTCGTTGTAGTTGGGCGGGAAAATGCTGAAATCTGATTGGTTGAAATTTTGTGGCTTTTATATATTTATAGATTTATAGATTATTATTATTATTATATTATTGTTATTGTTATTGTTATTGTTATTTTTATTGTTATAATAATAATAATAATAATAATAATAATAATAATAATAATAATAATAATAATAATAATAATAGTAATAATAATAATAATAATAATTGGTGGGGTATATCCCGACCGACATAGCTTGGATTTTCTCGTTCTTTGTGCAGGTTTTACAGGTCGGGTATTCAAAAAGGAAGACGGTCGGACCCGACCGTTGGACTTCCCGACCAGGGTCTTTATTACCCGATTAATGGCCCTTATCTTACGAACAGTCAAGGATCTCGAGAAGAGGCACGTGGCAATGCTACACGTTGACAGAGAGGGCTAGCTGGTTGAAGACGCGTGGATGCTATGTGGGCTACATGCCGGCCGGCCGGAGGTGTGTCTCCGGCCAACCGGCTATAAATACCCACGTCGGCTACAGTGTGAGGGACTTTTGAACGATCAATAGATTATCTACAGAGCTGCCCGACCGCAGTCAGTCGACCATCGGGATAATCACTTAGATTGTACTAGGTCCTTCTTGATCAATAAAAGACTTCTATTTCGTATTACTTGATCTTGTTTAAGTACCTTGACCGCTCACACGTGGAATTAGTACTATCATTTTGGCGCCGTCCGTGGGGACCGGGTACGAAAGCTATCGTAGACGAGTACCAGATCCTTCTTATCATCATGTATCCGTTCATGTACCAAGCACTTGAGGATGATCAAGCAGATGCAGCAAGTTCATCCGACCATCAGCGTACACAGTACCAAGGTCAAATAGTTGACCTGAACCTCAACTTATCACCACCTCATTCGGCGGCCCAGAACCTGGTCAACTACATTCAACCGGTATATCCGCCGCCCGGTCAACAGTATCCGTTTCTCGGGCAATATCCATACCCAGTTCCACCTCCTCCATATGGATGTTGGCCGGGGACACCGATGTACTATCCACCACCGACCGGCTATCCACAATATAAGCCGGGTATGTACTATCCACCACCGACCGGCTATCCACAATATACGCCTGCGTACCCGGCTCCAGCCTCCGCTCCTCCAATATACCCGACTATGCCGATCGAGCCGGAGCTTCAGCCCACCCCTCGGGCTAGGCGTTCGGCTCGTTCGAGGTTGGGGTCGCAGGGTGCCGAGGTCATGGAGGAACCACGGCAGGCTACACAGGTTCAGCTGGAAGCACATCCTCAGGAGGTTGAAGACCCTAAGTTAGAAGCCAACCGGGCGATGGCATTTGAGCGGCTCCGACCAGCAATGCGGCAAAGATTGGGACCGCAGGATCCAAACAGACACTCGGTTGATTCGCCCATGCGAGCGACAAGCCAGGAGGGGTCGTCCGGGCATAGTGGGTCTAAATCGCATCGACGGCGCCGGGCTCGGGAACCAGCCCGAACGGTCGAACAAGACGAGACCCGAGGAATGTTAAACGAACTCCGGGCAGAATTCACTCGTTGGCTAAACGAGCATGCTGTGAGGCCTCCTACCGATCATTCAGCCTCTCTGTTGAGGACACCCTTCACGGCGGAGATTATGGCTCAGCCTTACCCGCTCGATTTGCGCATCCCCGGAAACAAGGAATATGATGGGCGAACGGATCCAGAAGTTCACGTCAACACCTACTATGGCAACATGTTAATGATGGGCGTGTTTGACGCCGTGATGTGTAGGGCTTTCTACTCCACGCTCATTGGTCGGGCGACGGAGTGGTTCAGAACATTACAACCGGGCTCTATTTCTGATTTCGCCAATTTGGCGATGAAGTTCAACCGGAAGTTCGTAACCTCCAAGGTTATACGGAAGCCCTACCTGTATCTCGAGAAGGCCAAGCAATTGGAGGGAGAAAGCTTGACCAAATTTTTAGTCAAGTGGAAGGCGGCGGTCGGGGAGGTCGAGCCGATGGACGACCTGACGGCCATTCATATGCTGCACATTTCTTTACGAGCTGGTTATCTGTACCAGGACTTTATACTCCACCCTCCAACCACTTATGAAAAAGCCCTTCAAAGAGTGACGGATTATGCCAACGCTGGTGAGGCAAATGCCGTCAAGAGGTCGCAAGAGGTCGGGACATCATCCTGGAAGCTTTCTGGTCGGGCGGATCATCGGTCGGTTGAAGATCATCCCCGACCCCGTACCCGGCCGGGAGAATTCACGGCGTTGAACCGATCAGCGGCGGAAGCCATGCAGTACGCCCAATCCTGCAACCTCATTCATTTACCTCCTCCCGGACCAGATGGTAGAGACAAATCAAAGCATTGCGCCTATCATCGTTGTGCAGGACACGATACGGAAGAATGTACACACTTGAAACACCTCTTGGAAGACTTGCTCAGCTTGGGTAAATTAGACAAGTGTGTTGGGAAGCGGGAGGAGACCAAGAAAACAACTGACAGAAAAGATCATAGACGGTCCCACCATAGGTCTGACCGATCGGATCAAGACCGCAGAGATCCCGATCCTCCATCTAGTGGCCGACCGGCATCCAAACCAACTATCCATGTTATATTCGGAGGTTTAGAAGATGCTTCCCGACCTCGGGAAAGTTGTCCGGTCGCGATCGTCGACTCCCAGGAAACCGGTAAGAGGCAAAAGATGGAGCTCATCACCTTCACTCTAGAAGACCAGCCGGAAAGCGGTGATCATGGGATGGAAGCCCTAGTTGTCACGATTGATATTATGGGAACCGATGTCCAGAAAGTGATGGTCGACACCGGGAGCAGCGTGAACGTCCTTTATTTGGAAAGTTGGTCTTGCTCGTGCTTCGCCCGACTGGGACTCAGCATCAACAATCGAAGAGGAGCGTAAGCCCCACGACCACAATGTCGCTTAAACTTGCCCGAATATACCGGGGTCTAATCTCAGTTATAACTGATAAAGGTACACACCTCTCCCTTGGCCCCGACTGATAGGGGTATAAACCTAAATTGGCTTTAAAAAGTCATTTACATTTCAGCCGGACAATTAACAACGCCCGGCTTACAACGCTCATCTTCGGCGGACACTCGGGTCACGCCATTGATCGGGAAAAGTAGAGCTTCAGGTTATGTACCCGATCAGCATCACTTCTTTCCACTGTCGCACTCACTCGTGCCTCATGTGCACGGCAGTGTGGGAGCTAGGGTAAAGAGAAGGAAGAAAGGCCAAGAGGTCGGGAAAGCGCCCGGACGAAAAGGCCAACAAGTCAAAAGAGGCCAAAAGGCCGACAGGTCGGGCAAAGAACGTCCAAGAAATTATCGACTAACGTCGCAAAAGATCGAGCAAAAAAGAAGCTTGACAAAAAGTTAATACATTTAATAATAAAAGTGCCCGGCACAAAATCGGACCGGGCTCCCGATGAAGTACACTTCATCAAAACGCAAAAAATAAAATTGTTACATGGTCGGCAACTACACGACCTTGTCTACATTCTTCGCAGCGTTGCTGGGCTCGGCCGTGTCCTCGGAGGCAGACGGGTCGGTGAAAGGCGCTGGATCGGGGTCGGGGACTTCGTCCGGGAGGGTTGACAGTACGGACTTGAGGTCGTCACCGTCAAAAACTTCCTCCATAATGGAACGGGTCTCTTCTCGCATAGCCCGTTGCCCGGACTTAAAGGCTCATTGCCCGAACACCCAGACCATATCTTTCCCGAGCTTATTCTTCATTAGTTCTTTGAATAATTTCTCGGCCGAAGCCTCGTCTCGGCAGAGGAATCTGGCCAGGCCTTCAAGGTTGTCCAGTCGGGACTTGAGCTCGGCCAGTTCCACCAACGCTTCCCGAGCGGCTTTCTCGGCAATAGCCAAAGCATCCTCGTTCGACTTCAATTTGTCGCGGAGGTCTGTATTTTCTTTTCCTCGCCGCTCGGCGATTTCCCTCAGAGCCTCGGCCTCATTAGCCAACAGCGCTCGGCGTTGGAGATGCTGGATCGCTCGGGATAGCTGCAAAAGAAAACACGTTAGTTCGAGCGATTACAGTTGTACATAAAAGTAAAGAAGTAGCAAAGTTATACCTCTACCAGCTCGTGACCGCTCTTTTCGCCCACCTGCTCGGGCGTCAGCTTGGTGATGTCCTCCTTGATCGGCCGGAGTTTACCGATCCGGGTAAGGATAGACTCGTCACCCGTGATGGCCTCGCTCGGGGGGCTGTTCTGCTTCCTCCGACGCTTCAGTGCGCCGCCGTCTTCCGGGTCCTTCGCGACCACCTTTTCCTTGCCCTTACGGCAGGCCGCACGTGGATCCAAGGTATCGGTCGTTGTCTCCACGACAACGGCCCCTTCGGCTGTGGTAATCGTCGAGGCCCCTAGCGGACGAGTGTCCGGGATGGAGTCACCTCCAATCTCCTTATCGTCGGATGACCGGGCGTCAGCCTTTTTCCTCCCGAGCGTTATCTTAGCTCGGGGGACTCGGGGTGCGCTGGCCGTCTGAAAGCTGTGTGGCGGACCCATCTTTGCAAACAAAGAGCGAATGGTTAGAAAGAAGATCAGCTTGCGATCGGGGAAGTTGCGGTCGGGAAAGCTAAGTTAGTGTTAGACCTTCGTTAATCGGCTTAGCCTGAGGAGCCACTACTGCTACCGATACGCCCGTTGCTTGGGGTTTGTACTTCTGTTCCAGGTCGTATCGAGGTGGCGGCAGTCGGGCAGCGTCGTAGCTCTCTCTCTCGACCAGAATATCTTGTATTCGTAGATTTCGCTTGAGATCTGGAAGGTCGCGTCTCGAAGAGCTCGGGTCTCGTCCGGTTGCACTTGCTTCCTGTAGTGCATTCCCCATGTCCGGTCGACCGGGATAATCCACGGGTCGTACTTGACCGAGAATATCCGGTTCTTCCACCCTCGGTTGTTCCCGAGCAAGTCCTCGCTCGAGCACAAATCAGCCCGGGATTGAGCCATCAGGAAGCCACCCCCATACTTGGCCGCCAAGGGCTTGACTTGGTATATGAAATTGAAGAGCTCCATCGAGCATGTAACATCGTGCCGAGCGCAAATTTGTGGGAAGCACACCAGGATGTAATGCGCGTTCGAGCATATTTTGGCGGGTAATACCCGGTAATAGCCCAAGAACGCGGTCAGCAGGGGTGAAAAGGGGAAAGAGATCGGGGCTAATAGCGAGTTGAAATGTAGCCCGATCCATTTCCCTTGATGACGCTCCTTAATTCCCCCGAGGCTCCGTCGGGTGTCGAATTGCACCCGACCGCTTAACCTTGCGGCGATCTTCGCCGCTTCGTGGGTCGTCAGCAGGCATTCTTGCCGCTCGACACTCTCACTGTTTAAAAACACGAACTCCGGCGCGGCAGCTGCCATTGTGGTTGTTTCTTCCTCGATCGGGTCGGGTGTGGCGTCCCGAGCACGTTCTGGAGTAGAAGCCCCGTGGTCAGCTCCTATTGTCCTTGTGGGCGTTTCCTGAACGCCCTCGGTCGGAGATCAGGGACCGCTCGTTGAAGTACTGCGGCCGCTGCTGCTGCTTGAACCGCTCGACCCTAATGAGCTTTCTGAGCTGGAAGAGCGTTGTTATTCGGGAACCTTGCGCGGTCGTTGAACGACCTCGACGACTTCGGGCGATGACGCCTCTATTTCTACTTCCTCGCTGAGCTGCTCGACCGCATCATCGTAATCCGCTCCCGAGATATTCTGACTGTCAGAATCTGACATTTCCCTTTCCTAAAGGAGACAGTCGCGTTTTCAGAAGTTGGGGTCGGTTATGGTTCGATCGGAATTAGTTTGCCGCCGAAATTTGCCGTTGTGCGATAAGATAAAGGACAAAGAAGAAAGAAGAGAGAAATGAGGACTTACCGAGTGAGTGATGTTTGCTGAAGAGGTTGGAGTTTCTTGCTCGATCGATGCACAGTGCTGCTCGCTCGGGAAGCTCCAATTGGTTCTCACAGAGTGGTAAAAGTTCAAATGAACCTCAGAAGCGCCTATTTATAGGAAAAGTTTGGGCGGTAAAACGGCCCACTTGAGCGACGTGACCGTTGCAGACTCCGAGGCGTGCAGAGGCCGACACGTGGCACGACAAGCGACAGTTGTCCGATCGGGATCGAAAGCCGAGTGGTTGGACCTTTTCATCCCATTCCGTTTTTCCCCGAGCGGTCAAAAAGGCCCGGGCTGGGGGGCTTTTGGTAGGGTATATCCCGACCGACATAGCTTGGGTTTTCTCGTTCTTTGTGCAGGTTTTACAGGTCGGGTATTCAAAAAGGAAGACGATCGGACCCGACCGGTGGACTTCCCGACCAGGGTCTTTATTACCCGATTAATGACCCTTATCTTACGAAGAGTCAAGGATCTCGAGAAGAGGCACGTGGTAATGCTACACGTTGACAGAGAGGGCTAGCTGGGTGAAAACGCGTGGATGCTACGTGGGCTACATGCCGGCCGGCCAGAGGTGTGTCTCCGGCCAAGCGGCTACAAATACCCACGTCGGCTACAGTGTGAGGGACTTTTGGATGATCAATAGATTATCTACAGAGCTGCCCGACCGCAGTCAGTCGGCCCTCGGGATAATCACTTAGATTGTACTAGGTCCTTATTGATCAATAAAAGACTTCTATTTCGTATTACTTAATCTTTTTTAAGTACCTTGACCGCTCACTCGTGGAATTAGTACTATCAATAATAATAATAATAATAATAATAATAATAATAATAATAATAATAATAATAATAATAATAATAATAATAATAATAATAATAATAATAATAATATTATTATTATTATTATTATTATTATTATTATTATTATTATTATTATTATTATTATTATTATTATTATTATTATTATTATTATTATTATACTCTTAAGTCATTTTAAATGTTAATTTAAACAGCTAATTTTTTCAAATATCTTTTTAACAACCTTGATATAATTCGCTGGTCAAATCCGCTAATATAATCCGCTAACGCTAACCGCTAACTGCTGATTACCAACCGTTGATATAATTCGCTGGTCAAATCCGCTAATATAATCCGCTAACGCTAATCGCTAACTGCTGATTGTGAAACAAGGACATTGCGAGGTAGTTTCTCACTTCAATTTGTTGTGTGATTTGAATACTCTCTTTGTCAACAAATCCCTCAAGTAGTTAATATGATTGGCTTTATTAATTTAAATTTTTTAAATTTTTTCATGGTATTAATAAAATACTTGGTAATAAATATATATCATTATTTTGTATTATAACTTTGATATTTAATTAAAAAATAGTGCACAAAAAAAGATAATAGACAAGGGTTTTCCTCTCGCTCTCGTTCGCAAGTTTCTGCACCTCTATGCATCTAGGGTTTTTTTAGGATTTTCTTTCTCTTGCTTGTAATCATGACTACTGTGGATGATAACGAGATTGATCAGCTGTGTGCGAATCTTACCCTAGCAGATGTGGATGATGATGAAGTGACAGTGCATGTGCCGAACGTTCAGGTTGACGCTGACACACAGGAAGTCAGATATTATGCGGTAGGACGGCTAGTCACAAACAAACAGATCAGGTTTCTCTTTTTCTAGGACACCACAGCTTCCGTGTGGCAACCGGCAATGGGGGTGACAATGAAGCAGATACAACCCCAACGTTTCCTGATACGCTTTTATCATGAAACTGATTTGAATAGAATCCTAGCGGACGGGTCGTGGACGTATGAGCAAAACCTTTTAATTATGCAACGCCTGAAGCCAGATGAGGATCCGGAGCTGCTACCCTTAACGCATGCTGAGTTCTGGGTACAAATACATTGTTTACCCTCGGGTTTCCGGTCAGAAGCGGTAGTTTCGGCAATAGGCTCATTCCTGGGAGCGTTGGTACAGACCGATGAAAGGAATTTTGGGGGTTCGATGAGGGCTTTTTACCGGGTGCGGGTGAGTATCGATGTCGCCAAGCCTCTTAAGAAGTAGATGAAACTGAAAAAGGACAACGGTACGTGGTTTTTTGTTGATTTCCGTTACGAAAAGCTGCCTACCTTTTGTTTTATTTGTGGGGTGTTAAGCCATGGGGATAGAGTGTGCTCGAGGATTGCCCAAGGGTTTGATATTAAGGGGGGGAAGCCCTACGGTTCATGGCTTAGAGCAGGTTCCTAACGAAACCAGCCAACTGTGGGACAGCGTTGGGTTGCGCCAGAGTTGGATATTGATCGTAAGGGGTAGAAGGCACCAAGTCTGGTAGCAGGGGATGACGCAAGGGAATGCCCGGTCTACACAGTTAATGACACAAAGAGGAAAAGGGTTGATGCATATAATACCACTGGGGAGGCTGGTCAGAACTTGATGAAGTGTGATTCTGGTTTTCCAAAAAATGGGCAGCAGGCGGGACTTGCGAAGCAAGCCCGCCCAGAGATATGAGTCTCCTAACTTGGAATTGTCGGGGGCTTGGCAACCCTACGGCGATTCGGGTACTTGCGGACCTAGTTCGCGCTAAGAGGCCAAGAGTAGTTTTTTTTTTTTTTTTTAATGGAGATTTTCGTTGATAGTAGTAGAATTGAGATAGTGAGGGTGCACCTGGGGTTTGATAACGCTTTTGCAGTGGATGCAGTAGGGCACCGAGGAGGTTAAGCAATTTTATGGACGAATATTGTTAATTTACAAATAAATGCTTTCTGTAGCAACTACATTGATACCACACTCAGTCTAGATGTGGGGAGCCCCAATTGGCGCTTTACGGGGTACTATGCCTTTTCCGATAGGTCGCGGCGGAGAGAAGCCCGGCAGATGCTCTATAGTCTTGCTGGGCAGAGTCCAGAGCCATGGGTTATTATGGGGGACTATAACGATCTAACGCACCAGTCCGAGAAGCGAGGAAGGGCCCCACATCCGCCTTGGCAGATTAATGGCTTCTGTGAGGCTGTTCGTGATAGTGGGTTATAGGACTTTCCTTTCAGTGGAAATCAGTTCACCTGGGAATGCTCACGAGGAACTAATAATATGGTCGAGGAGAAGCTGGACCGGATTCTTGTGACGGAGAACTGGCTAAACTTGTTTGATAGGGCAACGGCAATGTCACTAGTGTGCCCGTACAATGACCATAAGTCATTGTTGTTGAGTCTGATGGCCGCGGTCAATGCAGTGCGAAGGACGCGGTTTTTGTTCGATAACATGTGGCTCAGGGAGGATAGATGTTGTGAAATAGTGGCGCAGAGCTGGGACCGAAAAGTGGGTTGGGATGTCCTTGCCCGAATTGAAAGTTGTGGACGTGCAATCTGGCGGTGGGGAAAGAACTATAATAAGGAATTTCAGCGAAGAATTGATGAGTGCAAGCGCAGGCTAGAGTTTCTATCACCACATAGAGATCAGGCCAGTATGGATAACTATGGGAATACTGAACGTGAGATGTTGTACTTGCTTGACCAGCAGCATCTCTTTTAGATGCAGAGGGCCAAGGAGCATTGGTACAAAGGGGGTGACTCTAACAGCAAGTTTTTCCACAATTCGGTAACGGCCAGACGAAGACGGAATAGAATACACAGACTAAGGGACAAAGATGGTAACTGGGTAGAAAAGGGGGAGGATACTGGCCAGGTAATGCAAAGTTATTTTCAGAAATTGTTTGAATCGGAACAGGGTGATATGGCTGAAGTGATCGGTAATGTGAATGCCAAAATCACTGCCCGGGATAATGCTCTGTTGTTAGGGTCGCTAAGCATGGAGGAGGTAAGAAGAGCGGTTTATCAGATGCACCCGGATAAGTCACCGGGTCCAGATGGACTTGGTTCGGGGTTTTTTCAGTATTATTGGGACATTGTGGGTGAGGCCGTTACAACTTTTTGTAACAATTTTATTCAGACGCGGGTTTTACCTACGAAGGCTAATGAAACTTATATAGTACTTATCCCAAAGAAGTCGAATCCGGAGACCATGAAGGATCTAAGGCCGATTGCATTGTGTAACGTAGTCTATAAGGTCGCAGCGAAAGCATGTGCTAATAGACTAAAGCCTTTGCTAGACAGGATTATTTCACCAGCACAGAGTGCCTTTGTGCCAGGGCGCCTTATAACTGATAATATAATGTTGGCATACGAAGCTCATCATTATCTACGGCGAAAGACGCACGGTAAGGAAGGAGTGGTTGCTTTGAAGGTCGATATGAGCAAGGCCTACAACCGTGTGGAGTGGGGCTTTCTGGAGGCAGTAATGGTAAAGTTGGGTTTTGATTGGAGGTGGGTGGAGATACTAATGGAAACGGTGAGCTCGGTCAAGTATCATATCTTGCACGAGCAGCGCCACCTTGGTCCTATAATCCCGGGATGTGGTTTGAGACAGGGGGATCCACTATCGCCTTACCTTTTCCTATTGGTTGCAGAGGGGCTTAGCTTGCTGATAGAGAAGCATATGAGTGCTGGGAATCTACATGGGATTCGGGTCGCAAGGGGAGCATCGTCGATATCATATTTACTATTTGCGGACGATTGCTTCCTTTTCCTACGAGCCAGTGTACAGGAGACTCAGTGCATGAAGTTTGTGCTTGATACCTATTCCGGGGCATCAGGTTAGCGAATTAACTATGATAAATCCGTGGCATGTTTTAGTACGAATGTCCCCTCGGTTACGCGTAATGTGGTGACTAGCCAACTTGGGGTGGTGGAGGGTAACACAACTGGAAAATACTTAGGCCTGCCATCACTTGTGGGGCAAAGGAAGAAGCAAATATTGGGTTTTTTGAAAGAAAGAATTCTAGCGAAGGTCAGGAGTTGGAACGTGAAATATTTGTCAAAAGCAGGGCGAGAAGTTATACTAAAGAATGTTATCCAGGCAATGCTGTCCTATGCGATGATGGTTTTTCTATTACCCTCATGTATGTGTAAGGAGATTGAAGTTATGATGAATGAGTACTGGTGGACAGGTACAGTTAATAATGGTAAGGGAATAAGGTGGAGGTCATGGGTGGGCTTGTGTGCTCCTAAGGCTACCGGGGGTATGGGCTTTCGCTCGTTACGAGAGATGAATTTGGCCTTGCTTGGGAAACAAGCATGGCGTTTGGTCACCAATCCCACATCATTGGTAGCAAGGGTCTACAAGTCGCGGTACTTTCCTCACTCCTCCTACTTCGAAGCGGCTGTGGGAAGTAATCCCTCCTTTATTTGGAGGGGGTTACTAGAGGTCCAGAGTATCATACGAGATGGTTGTAGGTGCAGTATAGGGAATGGCCATGACACAGTTATAGGCCAACATGCGTGGATTCCAGTGCAGAAAGATCCTTTTATCACAAATGCAGTGAGTGATGCAATTTTCCATTCGCCGGTAGCAACACTTTTTAATGACCAAGGTACGGGATGGGATGTTGATCGCATTCATTCTATTTTTAATGCACGTGATGTTAGTTTAATTATGAACATACCAATCTCTATCAAAAAACCACATGACTCGTGGTACTGGTACTGGGACAAGAAAGGCAAATATACAGTAAAGTCATGTTATAATCGCTTGAAGGGGGAGGTGCATGATGTTAGACAGTGGTCCATATTGTGGAATGTGTTCGTTCCGCCGAAGTTCAAGCTTTTCGTTTGGCAGTTGGCTTCGTCTTATCTTCCCACGCGGGATGCTCTACAATAAAAAAATGTCCATTGCAATTTGGTTTGTCACATGTGCAGGGGGGAATCGGAGTGTGCGTTCCATATGTTCGTCCAGTGCCCGAAAGTAGCGAGAATATGGGGTATGCTGGGTATACTGGTCGATAATGCAGCGCATGGTAATGTTATAGATTGGCTCTTTCATAATATCTCACTTTTGTCAACTGAAATGCTGCCCAAATTTATCATGGCTTGCTGGGGTATTTGGCAGAGTAGGAATGATTGCGTATGGAATGGCGTCCAATTTGCGACTAACACAATGCTGCTGCGATCTGTTACATTCTACCACAATTGGGCTAGTGTAAATGCTTTGGAAACAACAAGGAATCCGCATGCAAGGGAAGAGCAATGGGAACGTCCAGCAGCTGGGCGGTTAAAGCTTAATTCGGATGCTTCTCTAAATCATACAAACAATGTAATGGGTTTAGGGTGGGTACTCCGAGATCAAGAAGGCACTTTCATGGCGGCAAAGAATAAGTGTTTGCGTGGAGTTTATACAGTTGATGAGGCGGAGGCTATTAGTTTGAGATAAGCTTTGAGTTGGCTCAAGGACACTGGGATGGCCAGTGTTGATGTTGAGATGGATACACAAGAAGTTTTTTATGCTCTTACTAGTCCTTCTTTTTCTTCTGCGTTCGGTCTTATAGTAGATGATGTTAAAGAATTGGCGTCTGGGATAGATGATGTCCAATTCAAGTTTGCAAAACGATCTGCGAATGGTGCCGCCCACATTGTGGCAAGAGAGGCCTATTCAGAATCAGGTTGTGGGGAATGGTTTGATGTTCCACCAGCTTTTCTTGTAAACTGTCTTATTGGTGATTTAAAGCATTAAGCTTTGAACTTCAAAAAAAAAAAAAAAAGATAATAGACAATGTAGTGAGTATAATCAATTGATGAATTTGAATGTAAAGAATTTTTACATTAGAGAAAAATAAAGACAATATAACTAATGAAATTATTTCTCTTAATTAATTTATTGATAATGAATATTTTTTTTTAATAAAGACATTGTAGGGACAATGTAGCTAATATAATCAATTAATGAATTTGAACTTTGAATGTAAAGAATTTTTATATTGGAGAAAAATAAAGACAATATAACTAATGAAATTATTTCTCTTATTTAATTTATTGATAATGAATAATTTTGTTTTGAATAAAGGCATTGTAGATACATAATTCTAAATTAAAGAAATGCATATGTATTATTTTTTGTTATAGCTACTAAATTAATATTGAATTTAATAAGAGTAAAATAGAGTACTAATTATGCCAACTTTGAGTGGGATGGGGTTCGAACCTAAGACCTTTCTTATTGAAATCAATGAATAAGTTAACGGTGAACTAACAGAAATTAACGGAAAAGATAATATTTAACGGAAAAGTTAACGGATAATCATATCTACTATCTACTATATCTACTATACTAATAAGAGCCCAAGAGAGTTAGGCCTATAATGGGTAGAAAAAATGGCGGTCACATATTTTAATCAAATGAATGGCTCAGATTGATTAAAAGATTGATCAGATTTAAATTTTACACTAAAATTTCCTAAAATACCCACACACCATTACTAATTCCGTTAAAATTTTAAGAATTGCCGTTAGTTCACCGTTAACTTACTCATTGATTTTAATAAAAAAAAAAAGTCTTAAGTTCGAACCTCATCCCAATCAACGTTGGCATAATTAGTACTCTATTTTACTCTTATTAAATTATATAAATAATAATTTAGTAGTTACAACAAAAAATAATACATATGCATTTCTTTAATTTAGAATTATGTGTCCACAATGTCTTTATTCAAAAAAAAATTATTCATTATCAATAAATTAAATAAGATAAATAATTTTATTAGTTATACTGTCTTTATTTTTCTTCAATATAAAAATTCTTTATATTCAAATTTATTAATTGATTATATTCGCTACATTGTCCTTACAATGTCTTTATTCAGTGAAAAACAAATTATTAATTATCAATAAATTAATTAAAAGAAATATTTTCATTAGTTATATTGTCTTTATTTTTCTCAAATGTAAAAATTTTTACATTCAAATTCATCAATTGATTATATTCACTACATTATCTATTATCTTTTTTGTGCACTATTTTTCTAATTAAATATCAAAGTTATAACATAAAATAATGCTATATATTTATTTACCAAGTATTTTATTAATACCATGAAAAAATTTAAAAAATATAATTAATAAAGTCAACCATATTAACTACTTGAGAGATTTTGTGACAAAGAGAGTATTCAAATCACACAACAAATTGAAGTGAGAACTACCTCGCAATGTCCTTGTTTGACAATTAGCAGTTAGCGGATTATACTAGCGGATTTGACCTTATTTAATTATTAACATTGGGTAGAAAAAATGACCGTCAAATTATTAAATCAAATGAATGGTTCATATTGTTCAGGTTTTAATTTTTTTCTTTTAAGATTTTCTAATTTATCCTTAATTATATGATTATCCATTTAAATATTCCGTTAATTCACCGTTAGTCTAATTCTAATATTAAAGTCTAATATAGAATTATAACTACACCATTAATCTAATTCTAATAAAAAAGTCTTAATAGAACTTAACCACAAATCCTAATGTCGAAATCTCCTCAAACAATATTAGTATATATTTAATATTTTATGCCCTAATTTTTATTTGTTCTCCCTTATGCATGTCCCGTATTTGATTTCAACCATACCTATACAATTATTTTATTGACAATTATAATCAATATTGACTATATTATCTTGCATTTGTAAACTTAGAATTACCTATTTAACCCGCACGGGCTTAGCTCAATGGTTTAGTGGATAGTATTTGGGAGAAGAGACCAAGGTTTGAACCTCGGCGGCGGCAATGCGGGAATTATGTTCAAAGTGGGCAGATTCCTTGTGCGTATCAGCATTTGACCCTTTCTGCTGAACCATTGAGTCACCGTGATTTACAACTTCCCACAATGCTCTGTCGTGTCGGAGTGTGGGGGGGCCTTGGGGTTGGGGACTCAACCTTTGGGAGAACAATTACCTATTTAAATACGCAAATTCAACCTTCAATTATCTATGCATGAACAATTTCAATATAATCTTTCCTTAATATACTTTAAAGTACTTATTAAAAAAAAAAAAGCATTGGGCATTATCCCAATCGCGCAATGCGCGTAAAAAACTACTTCATTAATGATAAATTAGGAAATCTCAAGAAAAAAATTAAAATCTGATAAATCTGAGCCATTCATTTGATTAAAAAATTTGTCCGCCATTTTTTCTACCCATTATAGGCCTAACTCTCTTGGGCTCTTATTAGTATAGTAGAAATAGAGAGTTGAATTTTTTGAGATAGAAAACAGAGTGTTTTCTAGAATTTGAGATAAGTTCGGCCGTGAATTTGTCATGGCAATCTTAACTTATTATGCGATATTCACCCAACCGAATAAACCATTATGCGATATTCTTTGTAATTCGAGTGTGAAGAGAATATCAAGTCAACCATGTCTTCAGGAGGTTATGGGTTCGAGCCTCGGTGAAGGCGGGGCGGTATTGACTCGTTGAGCTTCAGTGGGTTGAGAAAGTATATATGAATAGATACTACATGTAACATGGTCAATAGTACTCAAAAAAAAAAAAAAAAAAAAAAAAAAAAAACTACATTATCTATAAAATGAATCTGAATAATTGTGCTAAAATAAAATTACAGTGTATATAAAATGAAACTAAATAACACTTTCACATATTCGAGTTGAATTAGAAAAAGAATTTAGTGTTCATATAATAAGACAATGAAATGTCTGTATAATGTCAAATGAAACAAACTTTAGTTGAAACAAAATAAACTTTATAGTTGAATTAGAAAAAGAATTTAGTGTAAATAAACTTTATAGTTGAATTAGAAAAAGAATTTAGTGTAAATAAACTTTATAGTTGAATTAAAAAAAGAATTTAGTGTTCTTATAATAAGACAATGAAATGTATGTATAATGTCAAATAGAGTTAATACCCAAAATGGTCCTCCGACAATTAGCTAATACTTGATTTTGTCCCAAAGTATTAAGCGTACTTAATTTAGTCTTCTTACTTTTAAAATCACACCCAATATAGTCCTCCGTTACAATTACCGTCAAACCACCGTTATTTTGAGGGCATAAGCGTCATAAGCCAAGCCAGCGCTTATCTTGAGGGCACCACCCTTAACGAAGCTAAGCAAGAGTGAGAGAGGAACACCGGACTGCCGCTGCCATCCATTCCTTGTCACGGAATAGGGAACCGACCGCCAACTACCACCCACTGCCACCGCTGCTACCAGTCGAGAAGAGGAGAGACAGAGGTCCAAAGGTCGCGAGGCTGCTATGCCGGAAGACTAGCTACCACCGCCGTCTACTGCTCGCCGAGAAACCAGGGTTGCCAAAGCTGCTTTGCCCAACCGCCATCGAGCTTCGTCGATCGGCCATACGCGCTGCCAACATCTCCAGCCACTATCGACGAGAGGGAGAGAAAGGTTAGCCACCCCCAGGAAGTAGCCTGTATGCCGGAGAAATTAAATTCGTCGGTCACCGCCACCGTACACTGTAGTTGCTGCTGGTTTGGGTAGTTGATTAAAGACGTGAAGGTTGAAGATAATGATAGTGGAAGGTGGTTCGGCTGGTCTCCAACAAGAGAAGAAAAAAAATATGGAAAGAAGCCGGAACCAGCACAGTCCGGCGTCGGTTAAAGAAGCTAAGCAAGAGGGAGAGAGGAACACCGGACTGACGCTGCCATCCATTGCTTGTCGCCAGAACAGGGGACCGATCGCTAACTACCACCCCTGCTGCCAATCGAGAAGAGGAGAGACAGAGGTCCACAGGTCGCGAGGCTGCTACGCCGGAAGACCAGCAACCACCGCCGTTAACGTTGTACTTTGCCCGGTTCGCAATGGTGAACAGAAGAGCCTTAAGCGAAGTGGTTCCAGATTTGGGGAAGCTGGCTAAGAGGACATCATGGGGTGTGGTTTGAAGTGTTGTTGGAGTGCTAGGAGGCCATGGATGATCCATGTTGGGTATCAATTCCATTGAGCAAATGAATGTCTCCATCAACTACCCATCCCCTTTCTCTTGGCAACGAAAGTTCGGCACACAACTTCATTTTAGGGAAAGATGTGCTTTAATCACTAAAATGACGCTTATACCCTTCAACATAATGGTTGATTAATGGTAATTGTAACGGAGGACTATATTGGGTGTGATTTTGAAAGTAAGAGGACTAAATTGAGTACGCTAAATACCTTGGGGCAAAATCGGGTATTAGCTAATAGTCGAAGGACTATTTTGGGTATTCTCTGTCAAATAAATAAACTTTATGACGGATATATTAAGAATGGATCTTAATCCAAGAAAACCAACCCGAAGGAAGATGGAGAGCTAACCCGGGCAAGGTCGGCTCAAGGTGGACAAAGCCGAATACGAGATCGGTCATGACTTGGGCTCAACCACTATGGTCCGCTACGACATTAGACACGGAGCCTACGAAGTGGCTCGACCGGCAAGGTCATCCTCCGTGGTTGGCCTTCGATGTCGACCCTCGAAGTCGGCCTCCGAGATCGGCCTCTGTTGTCGACCTTCGTGGTCGACCCTCGAAGTTGGCCTCCGTGGTTAGCCCTCGAGGTCGGCTTCCGTGGTCGGCCCTCGAGGTCGGGCTCTGTGGTCGGCCCCGAGCCTTCGTGGTCGGCCCTCGAAGTTGGCCTCCGTGGTTAGCCCTCGAGGTCGGCTTCCGTGGTCGGCCCTCGAGGTCGGGCTCTATGGTCGGCCCCGAGCCTTCGTGGTCGGCCCTCGAAGTTGGCCTCCGTGGTTAGCCCTCGAGGTCGGGTTCCGTGGTTGGTCCTTGAGGTCGGGTTCCGTGGTCGGCCCCGAGGTTGGCCTCCAGGGTTGGCCTTTGTGGTCTGCCTCCAGGGTTGGCTCCAAGGTCGCCTCCAATGGCAGTTGGGCGAATACCTATTCTTGTCAGTCACGCTATTTTTGTGGAGTTGGTTAGGCTTATTACTTTAAATAAGCATCATTTGTCCTCATCGGAGGCATTTTCATCATCTCAATCTCCATCCTTGTCTTGTTATTACACAATTTAATCCTTGTAATAACATTCACACCATATCAATAGCATTGTCTCCACGACTAATATTCATTGTCTTTTCCTTACTATTACCTTTGTATTTATTTTCTTAATATTTATCATTTGTTTATCGGGTTTGTTAATTCCGACCACCCAGGTTAATTAAATCCATCATTGGTGTTTTCGTTGAGAGCTCGATATACAAGCTCGAGCGTACTCTATATTTTCTGACATACCATAGCAATGGAGAGGTCCATTTCATGCAACTCTCATAGCTCCCGTAACACCCACCTCACCCCGAGCGGGAACAATCTCAATGGTCCCGTGAGCCGACAAACCCATTCCATGAGGTCGATAGGGGACCAACGGGACCAACTCAACAGCAATCGCAATGGCTGGTCGACTCCAATTGCCCCACCACCAACCCCAGGCCTTCCCGACGAAGTGGTCGCGATTCAACAAACTGGAACCTTCCTAACCCGCCTCATCGAAGGGCTAAAAGGAGTAGTGAAACCTCCTCAACTCGGCATCGAAGCGCCGCATGGGGTCGTGCAGAGCAGCTAACCCTCACCCTGCTCCCTCCGGGGCCGAGCGTGATGCCGATCACCCGGTCTCAACAAGTGAGAGGAGCTCAAAGTGAGGAGCCCAACACGAGGAGCTCAAAGTGAGGAGCTCAACTTGAGGAGGTCAAACTGGGGAGCTCGAGTTGAGGAGCTGAAGGTGAGGAGCTAAAAGTGAAGAACTCAATCGAGGAACTCAAGATATGGATCGGAACTCATGCTCTCAAACTCGGTTAAGGTAAAGTTTGGAGCTCAAGTTCTCGAGCTCAATCAATGCGATGGTTGGAGCTCAAGTTGTCGAGCCCGACCAAGGGTAGGAGCCAAGACCTTTGAGGTCGGGCAAAGAAAAGTGGGAAGCTCAAGCTCTTGGAGCCCGATCATGGCAAAGTATGGAACACCCGTATGGGGCACCCCAAAGGCGGCCAAAGTCAACGGCATGGCCGTGTCGGTGCCGAGCAATGTATGCTTTATTTGCATAATGTAAAAGCTAATGAGAAAACATTAGGCACGTAGAAGGGGATAACACCGTGTTGATCAAGGTCGGAGCATGAGTACTCTCTTTCACTTACGACTTCTCGCAGCTCAGAGAGTGGGGGACTGATGATGGATATATTAAGAATGGATCCTAATAGAAGAAAACCGACCTGAAGGAAGATGGATAGCTAACCCGAGCAAGGTTGGGTCAAGGTGGACAAAGACGACCACGAGGTTGGTCATGACTTGGGCTCAACCATTGTGGTCCGCTACGACATTAGAGACAGAGGCCACGAAGAGGCTTGATCGACAAAGTCATCCTTCGTGGTCGACCCTCGTGGTCGGCCTCTGTGGTTAGCCCTCGAGGTCGGCTTCCGTGGTTGATCCCGTGATCGGCTCCGAGGTGGCCTCCAAGGGCGACTGGGTGAATGCCTATTCTTGTGGGTCATGTTATTTTCCTGGAGTTGGTTAGGCTTATTACTTCAAATAAGCATCATTTGTCGTTATTGGGGGCATCTTCATCATCTCAATCTTCATCCTTGTCTTGTTATTACACAATTTACTCCTTGTAATAGCATTTCACACTATATCAATACAACATTGTCTCCTCAGCCAATATTCATTGTCTTTTCCTTATTATTACCTTTGTCTTTATTTCCTTAATATTTATCATATATTTATCGGGTTTGTTAACTCCGACCACACTAGTTAATTAAATCCATCACTTTAGTTGTACTGAAATGAAACTGCAATGTACATAAAATGTAACTGAATATGCTATACAAACAAAATTAATTATATGGAATGAGTGATGTTTCTTTTCATTAAAAGAAACGACACCGTTTTGAACCTTGGTCCATAGTAAAATTTGCCATAAATATTGGGTTTGGCATAATGTTATTAACATCCCTAAACATAATTAGTCAAAGGTATCACAAATTATTCTGTGGACCCGGGTCCACCTTGCAAGGTGGATCTGATTCCAAATGTTCACAATTTACCTTTTAAAAATTTAAAATTTGTATACTACGAATACACAAAGTTAACATATATGTAATTGATTACTTTGTTTTGTATTCACAAGTTCCTTTCAAATACTGCAGTCACACAATATTAACAGATTAGGATTTGGTAACCATGTATTGTATTCACAAATTTCCTTCTACAGCTGTTATGTACACAATTTATTTATTCTAAAAGTTTACAATTCCAATACTAAAATACACAATTTATACGTCGTTTAAGACCAATGTGGACCCTGATATATGGTATAATAATTCCAAAGGTATTATTAAAAAGGCATATTAATAATGCTTTTTGCCTCATCAAGCATTCATCGTTTATTTTATAGACAGTTGTACTATTTAAACGTACGGAAGTGGCGAGAGTCGTAAAAGTCGTCAAGTGAAGTAGTTGACGACGACGAGATCAACTTCTCTTACAATTTTATTTTATTTTTCTACAAAAGAGATAAGGCGCGTCAAATTTAGAAATACGCATATTTATATTTATTTATTTCTCTATATATTTTCTCTATTTCCTCGTACGTATGTTCTCTGTGCTTTTGACTGTCTCTTCACATGTCGCACCCAAACAAAAAATAAATAATAATAGAAAAAAAAATAAACAAGGAAGAAAATTCATTCGCCCCCTTTTCTTCATCTTCTGAAACGGAGGGATTTCTAGGGTTCTGTGGTCGAGGTTATGGAATTGAGAAGTACGGCTCCGTACTGTTCTGTTCCTACAGCTGTTGTACTGTGGCTGTTGAGCTGCTCCGCTCTGGTTCATGGCGGTGATATAGTTCACCATGATGATGTGGCTCCAAGGAGAGCTGGTTGTGATAACAATTTTGTTCTGGTAAGCTTTGAATTTCTCACTGTTTTTTGCTCATTTTTAATGTTTTGCTTCAAATTTTGAGGTTTTTTTTTCTTTACTTTTAGTTTATACATCTTTTTCTGAAAAAAAAAAAAAATGATTACTTTGTTTTTGTTTATGAATTTTGATTTGTTAATGCTATAATTAGTGGGAATTGTTAGTTTTCTTTTTAAAAAGTTTGATTTCCTCAAATCTTCATTTTATCAGTGTTTTAGCTGTGGAAAATGGCATTATTTTGGTTTTTGCTTAGAGTATCACTTGCTAAGTTGCTATGCATTATTGTTTGCTGCACTATCTGTTTCAACTTGTGTGGCATTCAAATTCCTCACATGTTTGGTAACCATCAGATTCAGAGCTTACAGTGAATGGTGCATTTATATTGGTATTTCCAGTAATTTCATTTAATATCAAGTTTTCCCTTAGACTGATTCCCAATTATTCAATTATATTATCTTCAGAATATATGTATATTGAGTGTTCCTGATTACCTCTTTCGGATGTCTTTAAATAAGATATATTTCTAACATAGAAATGCACATTTGATGACAGGTAAAAGTTGCAACCTGGATCAATGGTAAAGAAGAAATGGAATTTGTTGGAGTTGGTGCGAGATTCGGCCCCACCTTGGAGTCGAAGGAGAAGCGAGCAAATCAAACAAGACTTGCTCTTGCTGACCCACCTGATTGTTGTAGCAAACCGAGGAATAAGGTTGTCTTATCTGCTTTATCTACATAAGTGATCAGCCATACACCATGTGTTTACCCTGTAGAAAGCCTCTCAATTTGGATTACATAATAGTTAAAGTTTTATACAATGAATGTTGAGCAATATGTCTTCCTTTATGGCAGCTTACTGGTGAGGCCATATTAGTACATCGTGGCAATTGCAGTTTCACTACCAAAGCAAATGTTGCAGATGATGCCGGTGCTTCAGCTATCCTCATTATAAACAACCAAACAGGTTTTGGTGTTCTCATCTAATTCTATGAAGTGCTACTTTTGGTTCCAAATTGGAATTAGAATGTATGATTATTTATGAGTTCAGTTGGATAGCAGTCCTCCTGTGTCTTTAAGTAATTATCATTGTTATCTACTTATCTCAATATCTTGTTTTATGATGCCTACAAGAAAAAATAGCACTGATATTTTGCGAATACCCCACTTCAAATATCTAATTTGGAACAGCTCTTTGGGACATAGGGCTCTATCACACAATGAATAGCTTTATTCGTAGGCTTTCTTGATAAAACAGTGGAAATCAATTTCATAATCCTTCTCTTTGCATTGCAGAGCTCTTCAAGATGGTTTGCGAAGGAAATGAGACTGATTTGGTTATTGGCATACCTGCTATCATGCTCCCACAAGATGCTGGTCTAAGCTTGATAGAAAATATAATGAACAAGTCAATGGGTAATCTTACCTTACCAGAAAATGAAAAAGAAAAAAGAAACAAAAGCATTTGCATATCTTTATTTAGATAACTATTCAATATTCAAATTCTCTTGCTATGTATGACCTCAGATTCTGGGTTCTATTTCTAAACATTGATGTATGCTTGACAGTTATTTCCCTTCCCTTCAGTTTCTGTGCAGCTGTATTCTCCAAGGCGCCCTGTGGTTGATGTAGCTGAAGTATTTCTGTGGCTTATGGCTGTTGCTACCATTTTATGTGCATCGTACTGGTCTGCATGGACTGCCAGAGAAGCTGCAATTCAGCAGGATAAGCTGTTGAAAGTAATTTCACGGGATTCATAGATACCTGATAGTTGTGTTAAGCACGGGATACCTATGTTGTGTTAAACAATGGATATCTATTTTGCAGGATGGCTCGGATGAATACTGTGGCATGGAGGCTACACAGTCTAGTGGTGTGGTGGATATCAACACAATGTCAGCAATTCTCTTTGTTGTCATTGCTTCCTGCTTCTTGATCATGCTCTACAAACTAATGTCCCTCTGGTTCATTGAGATTCTGGTGGTTCTATTCTGCATTGGCGGTGTAGAGGTATGTCTCTCCAAATATCAAAAGAAAGCAGTATAAGTTTGTACTGAATGACCATTTCTGTGTGAAAACAAGAAATATAGACAAGCTTGTACAGGTTGCTAATGAGTAAACAACAATGACACTTTCTCTTAGCATTTCATAGATAGCTTTAACAGCCCGTATGAGCTTAGCTCACTGGTTCAGTGGGCAGTATTTGGGACAAGAGACCAAGGTTCAAAACTCGGTAGCGGTAGTGTGGGGATGATGCCCAAAGTGGGTAGATCCCTTGTGTTCACTGGAAATTTGGCCTTGTATGCTGAGCCACTGAGTTACTACCGGGATTTACATCCTCCCAAATGCTCTGTCGGGCTGGGGTGTGGGGGGTCCTTGGGGTTGGGGATTCAACCTTTCAGGCAAGGCAAGATAGCTTTAACATCATGATCTAATCCATTTTGTTTAATTCTTCTAGAGTTAGGAACTTGCAAGAATGCCAAATGCAGCATGTTTAGTGCTGAAGTTACTTCATCCTCCATCATTAAGTACTAAACAATGTGTCTCTTTCGACTTGCAGGGTCTGCAGACCTGTTTGGTTGCATTGTTATCCTGGTATGCTAATTCTTTTTAGTATTATAAAACCTCTCGTTGTCTTTAGGATCTACTTAACTGCAATGCCTAAGTATTTCTGTCCAGCAACAGAAAGCCTGCACAAACAAATAACATGGTAAGTGTTGCAAAATATGCCTAGGGAGGGAAATCTGTTCTAAGGTTTATGCTGTCATGGCGTTATAACTTTGGCGATTAATTGTATCTTGCTCGATGTTAATTGGTGCTCATTGCATCTAGGCAATTGGCTGTTTGCATCTCCTCAATTTATTTCCTTAACCTTTTAGGGTAAGAAATCTAAGAATGAAATATACTATTGAGATAAATGAGAACAAGAATCGAAAATAATGACAAAAAGTAAAGAAGAAAAGATTTACGTGGTTTGGCAATGTACCTACGTCCACAGGAGCGAATTTGTTCTTTTATTGATTGTGATGGTAGAACATCTAGGGTTACAGGTATCATATTTATAAGCAACCCTAAACAAGGTACATGTACAAAATTACCCCTATACCTAAGGGTCACTCCGCTCTGCTCTGTTCCGTCCAACACCTATCATCCTGCAGTACATATGGAGAGTGTGAGACATACACAACATATACATGCACATACAATTAGAGGAAATTGCATCGAGTTCCCCTTTTAGTCTGTCATTAGAGAACTGAACAATTTTCAGAAATTGCATTCATGAGGGTTGGTTGCAAATTTTTGCAATATTTGTTTCCTCAAAGTTCAGCAAAGATGTTATTCTATATGTTTTTATATATGTGTACTCTTATCTATATTGATATTGAATTTAGAAGAACGGCTAACTATTCTTGAATATAGTTTCAGATGGTTTGAACGTGCTGCAGAGACTTTTGTCAAAATACCTTTACTTGGAGCTGTATCATACCTGACTCTTGCTGTTTCTCCATTCTGCATAGTATTTGCTGTTATGTGGGCTGTTTACAGACGTGTCTCCTTTGCTTGGATAGGTCAAGATATACTTGTAAGAGTTTTCCTGTGTATTATTTCCATCTATGAAGTTTTCTCATTAATTTTAAATGTTTTCCTTCCAATTGTCAACTTTGATATTCACTCTCACTCAAATCTAAGATTCTCAGACAATTGTTGAAAATCTTGTCAATCTCACCCATTTAAATTTCTCTTCAAATTAATTTTGTGGGTGTATGTTGGAATATCTCACATGTAAAGATTACCATCTAATATCTCACATGTAAAGATAACCACAAGGTCATGAGTTCGAATTAATCGAATCCCAGCCTTCTTGGTTTGAGCCGGTCAGTTATGGGCAACCTAGGCTGGTTTACCTCCTTGTGGTCTGTTGCTGGCTAGGGTCACAATGCAGGGTTTACCCAGTGTACACCCTCGGGTAGTGACTGCAAGTTTCCCTCGTCACCTAAGAATATTGAAACTCATACATAATTAAGATACTAAGTTGACAAAAAGAGGGATAATTTTAAATTGCCTAGTTGTTTTCATGTCCGGAGTTCTTACAGACTTGTAAAGACAATGATATCTTTCTTGATTACCTCTTATCAGGGTATTGCGTTGATTATCACAGTTCTCCAAATTGTGCGAGTTCCCAATCTCAAGGTAAAATAGCAAGCATTGAACTTTTTCTGCCTTTGTTTTTGCACAAGGCTGTGAGAAGTTTGTTCATGTAGCCCAGTGAATCTAATTCATCAGATACGCTAGTATGAATTTTGTTGAATGACAGTACTAAATGATGTTAGCTCCATCGGAAATTCAAATGCATTTGATATAACTATTTTTATTTGGCATGATCAGGTCGGAACTGTTCTTCTCGGCTGTGCTTTCTTATATGACCTGTTCTGGGTGTTTGTTTCAAAATGGTGGTTTCACGAGAGTGTAATGATAGTGGTATGTTCCCTTCTGATTTGTGCGGTTTGGAACAATCTAGATAGCTATATAAATTATTAGCAACTTTATATCAGCCGATCCTATTTCATTCCTGCAGGTTGCTCGTGGTGATAAAAGTGGAGAAGATGGAATACCCATGCTGCTGAAAATCCCACGGATGTTTGATCCTTGGGGTGGTTATAGTGTCATCGGTTTTGGTGACATTATTCTACCGGGTTTACTTGTAGCATTTTCACTAAGGTTTGAGAATCCGATACTCAAATATCATGTTAAGCCTTTGGTTCTCTTCGAACCATCAATCTCTTAGCATTTATAACTTGTTTTCCCGAGTCCTGTTCTATGCATCGCTGTAAGCCTTAGATGGAATGTTTTAAACCGTATTGGTTCCTTTTGACTTTGAGTGACTGCTGCCAGCTGCCTCTTAGTTAAAGCCACATAATTAAGTACACCCCTTCTTCCCAGCAACTACTTTTTTGGGGTGACAGGGGAAACCCGCAACCACTACTCGAGAGTGTGCACTGGGTAAATCCCGCTTTGTGAACCTAGCTAGCAAAGGACCACAAGGAGGTAAACCAGTCTAGGTTGATGAGGGAAATCCGCAATCACTACTCGAGGGTGTGTTCTGACTTCTGAGTAAATCCCGCTTTGTGAACCTAGCTGGCAAAGGACCACAAGGAGGTAAACCAGTCTAGGTTGCTCATAGCTGACCGGCTCAAACCAAGAAGGCTGGGATTCAAACTCATGACCTTGTGATTATAAGTCTATATTCTTAGCCATCTTGGCAGGGGTTACCCCGCTTCCCAACAACTATGTTGTTATGAGCTGAATGCACGAAGACTTATTATTCTTTTTTGGGTCTCAGGTATGATTGGTTATCTAAAAAGAGTCTTCGTACGGGTTACTTTCTATGGGCAATGATGGCTTATGGTTTAGGTATGATAAGTTCACAATTCAGACTCATTATCTTCTACTTGCCTTGAGTATTACACTAGTTTGACATATATATTTCTGTCATTGCCATAGGTTTGCTTATAACATATTTGGCTCTCAACTTGATGGATGGACATGGCCAACCCGCATTGCTTTACATAGTTCCTTTCACTTTAGGTATGTAACGGAACACTTAAAGATTGCAATTCCGCCTTTATTCTATAGATTGATATAACGGCATCATCTGGGGTAAATTATGCAGGAACGTTTTTGACACTAGGAAAGAAAAGAGGCGACCTCAAGCATTTATGGACGAAAGGCGACCCTGACCGACCTTGCCCCCATGTCCAGCTCCAACCTGCAGATTAAGTAAATACTGCAAAAAGAACCCCAATCTAATCTAATGTAGGACTCTGCTTTCAAGTTAGTGTGTATAGTTTAGAAGATTGAGTGTTGTAACGATACATATGATCTCTGTAGCTATTCTCCTGTTTGAACTCGAGTGTGTATTAGTAGTGGCCATGTGCTTAACAAAACGCAGAATTATGAGTTGTAATGACACGAATTCCTATTTTACTCCTCGGCCTTTACAACATGTTTGGTTCACGAAATGAATTATAAGTGTTAGGCGGAGGTCAATGAAAGGTCAAGTCCAATAATTAGTGGTTAGAGGATTGTTGAGTGAAGGCTAATGAAAGGCTAAGTTTAGCATTGCTTCCTGAAAATGTGGCGATATATAAAAAAATAAAATGAGTTAATTCCACCAGAGGTCCCTTGTCTTTGGTGGTAATTTTAAATTTAATCCCAGACTATTATTTTTGTCATTTAACATACGAGATTGTTGTTTTTTGGACAATTTTAGTCCTTCTTATGACTTTTCCTATTTTTAGTAAGGGCATTTTTATGTCTTCATATTTTTTTTTTCATATTTTTCTTTTGTTATTTTTTTTTTATTTCAACCGGTATAATTGGTTTAGGACTTTACTAAAAACGGATTAAAAAATATGATTACTAAAAATCAGAGATTACCTAAAGTCCTAAACTAATTAAACCGATTAAAATCAAAAAAATAACAAAAGAAAAATATAAAAAGACAAAAATGCCCTTACTAAATATAGGAAAAGTCATGAGAAGAACTAAAAGTGTCCAAAAAACAATAGTCTGCGATGTTAAATGACAAAAATAATAGTCTGTGACTAAATTTAGAATTGTCACCAAAGAGAATGTGTGCTGACTATTTCTGCATCAATTTCTGTGGTCTGCCAAACAATCTTTTGAATGCTGAAAGTCAAAATCTGGGGCTCCAACATGAATAACAACAGCTAACCAGAAATGGGGTGAGATTATCCATGATTGGTGTCTGCAATTGCTTTTAATGAAAATTCATAGACTTTGACCTGGATGGGATGAGAGATGAACCCATCTCCCCATCTACCTACGCAGATATGCATATGGGGAACAATAAATATTGGAGGTTCTCATTAATGGAAAACCCAATTGGGATTAATTATATGTAGATGAGAGTAAACAAAAGTAGGGCACCTAATTAAAGTTGTGTTTTATTGGTGGGAAGAAATTACAACTAACTGCACAAATCTACATACCTACTTACCCAAACTTCTTTGTTTTGCTCATTCAGTTGAGTTTGGCTAACTGCCTAACTCAAACAAACTGAAATATGTCTTGTGGGTGGGTCCAATAACTTTCTTCTACTAGTTGCCTAAACATATTGTGCTTTCTCGTTTGTGTTGTTGTGACCTTGCTCACTTGTACCCTGGTTATAAGCCATGGCAGAAGTGATTATATATATATATATATATATATATATATATATATATATATATATATATATATATATATATATATATATATATATATATATATAGAAGAGTAAATACCCAAAATGGTCTTTCGACTATAGCTAAATTCACAAATTGGTCCTCGACTTTCAATTTCAACCAATTAAGTCCTTAACTTTGCAATTTTGACACGATTTGGTCCTCCATCTATTTGACCGTTTGTTGACCATGATCGACGATCTCTAGAAGAACCTTCAGCTCTCGTCGGAGCATGTGGAGGCCTCCAGGATAACGTTGCACCGGTTCAGAAACACGTCGCCTTCTTCGCTCTGGTTCGAATTCAACTACATTGAATCCAAAGGGAGGATGAAGAAAGGCGACCGGATTTGGTAGATTGCTTTCGGCAGTGGATTCAAATGTAACAGTGCGGTCTGGAAATGCAATCAAACCTTAAAAAACTGATGATGGACCATGAAATTACATATATATCCTCAAAAATCACAGTCAACAAACGGTCAAATAGACAGAGGACCAAATTGTGTTAAAATTACAAAGTTAAGGACTTAATTGGTTGAAATTGAAAGTCAAGGACCAATTTGTGAATTTAGCTATAATCGAGGGACCATTTTGAGTATTTAATCTATATAGAATTCAGTTCGCGTGCAGTTGATCTTCTCAGGTGCGGTTGTGCGGTGAGAGGAGAGCCATTGATCTTGTCAAGATCAACGTCCAGGATTAACAACGTGTTTTTAAAAAAATTGCGGTGACAATTTGGTCATTTTCCATATGGGGTAGACCTGGCAATTCGTGTATACGAGTTCGTTAACGGGTCAACACGATAACGATACGAACACGATAAGGCTTAACACGGACACGACACGTTATGGTTAACGACTTCAAATTCTTAACGTGAACACGAACACGAGTTGTTTAGGCGTTAAACGGGGTGACACGATAGACACGTTTTGTTAACAGGTTTTGGGTTGTGTCAACACGATATGATAGGAGACCTGTTTAAACACGCTAAACCTATTAATATATTAAAACAAACTAAAATTTAAAGTTAAGTTACTAAAAAAAATATTCAATTCATAACATTCATAAAATGATAAAATAACATTCAAAAATCATAATTAAAGAAGTCCATACTAATTTTTAGAATAAAATTGAACACAATAAAACTTCAAACTTCAAATTGTTGAACATCAATAATTTGTGTAGGATCTTGGCCTAATGTAGTAAATTCATCCTTAGTCATGTTCATAACAATAGTTCTTACCTTAAGGACAATGATTCTTAGCGGGTTATAAACAGATTTGTGTAAACGGGTTAACACGATAATATTAACGGTTTAAACAGGTTCTTAATATGTTTAACGGGTTGACCCGTTAAGACACAAAACATAACGGGTCCTTAATAGGCCAACCCGCTAACGACTCGGGACACGTTAAGGCTAAACACTAACCCGTTATTTTGTGTCGTGTTAACTGGTCGTGTCCATAATTGTCATGTCTCATATGGGGCAAACTTAAGGTGAGTAGGTCTTGTGCTTAAGGTGCGTCGTGTTTCTTCTTCAAATCTGGAACAGAACAGAAGGCGGCAGAGGGTAACGGGCACTCCTTGTTCGCCACCCTTCTCCCTTTTGAACTAAGGGGTCTGAGTCACGGATCTCCTCGACCCCTAGCTCAGACCCTCAAGAATAAAACTTTTGAACTGAGGGGTCTGTCAAACCCTTAGCTCAGACCCTCAAGAACAAAACTTAATGTGCGCCATTTTAACATTTAAGGTGCGTTGTTCTAACACTTAAGGTGCGTCTTTGTATCACTTAAGGTGCGCCATTGTTATAAACGGAAGGTGCATGATGTTAATACTTAAAGTGCGCCATTTTAACACTTAAGGTGCGTTGTTGTAACACTTCTTCGTGTTTCTATCACTTAAGGTGCGCCACTTTTATGTTATGCTTCTTTCTTCTAGACACACATTATTTTTGAATTTTCATTGATTTGAGCTGTTGATTTAGATTTGATCAATGGCTCATATCTAACCGCATGACCGCATTTGTGAGCATCCCCGCACCCGAACTCAACCATATATATATATATATATATATATATATATATATATATATATATACATATATGTATATATATATATACATATATGTATATATATATATATATATATATATATATATATATATACATATACATATATGTATATGTATATATATATATATATATATATATATATATATATATATATATATATATATATATATATATATATATATATATATACATAGATATTGGATCCAATGAGACCCATATTTTGGTGAGACGGTAAGATGTAATCTGGTTCGTTTATTTTTATTTTTTAACGGTTGTGATCTTTTGATTTTGGATCCCATGTGCTGATGTTTAGTAAAGGAGGTAGGGTCATTGTGGTCTTTTGCTTATGTTATTATTTCAGATTCCATAATTAAAGGGCACGTGTGTGGTGTTATTTTTGGGAGGATATCAATTACAAGTTTTGGAATTGTAATTGGACGCTTCACATTACATTGTCGATTCACTTCCTCTGCTGTTAGTCTTTTCCACCCGCGACGCCAGGGTTGTCCGATTCTGACGCTAGCGGCCGTCCTTTGGTGTTGTTTGAGCGTCATCATCTCCTTTCCCGGTCTGTCCTAGTCGCACAAGTGATTGGTGTTCATGGCAGGTTCTTCTAGCAGGAATGTTAAGCGTCGGAGGGGTAGTTCTTCCGTGTCTACTCAAGGTATTTTGACTTTCTTGTCTGTTTTGTGTGGGTTTATGGTTTTCCGGTCGGGGTTTTGTCCGGGTGGGGTTTTCCGATTGGGGTTTTGTTCCGGATGGGGTGGGGGCATGCAGGGGTTGGATTGGGGTTGTTGTGGTGCGGAGTGGCGGTGTTCACATAAAAGGTTTTTTTTTTTTGTTTTTTTGTTTTTGTTCGGCCGGTAGGTATTTCCCGGCGTTGGGGGTTTTTGGGTGGGGTGGGGTGTCGACGGTCGTGGGGGTAATGGTGTGGTGTGGCGGTGTCTGGACGGTGTTATGGTATATGACATTTAAAATAGAAAGGGTGTCAATCTTTTAGGGTGAAAAGAAGTTGTGTTTCATATCTCTTTTGTTTAATTTTTTATTTGTGGGATGCTTTTAATTTCTCTTCTGTAAGGCAATATAGAAGGGGGCAAGTAGAAGCTAGGTATGTTTGTTGCTTTTTAATAATGAGTTAGAAAAAGTTTAGGGAGTTGTCTCACATGGGTGGTCTTGAGACAAGTTTGTGATGTTTGATGCAAAAACAAAAAGAAAAGAATGGTGTGTGCATTCTTAGAGTGACGTTTGTGCGTAATTCTGTATTTGTTATATTTGCTGTAATTGGCTTTTGTTTTTGTTTTGAATTTGCATTCGAGTGTATCATCTGTCCTTTGCAACTGAGCATTTTCTGGGCATATTTGTGAAGCATATGGTAGTAGTAAGTAGTGTGCGTTATTCGTATGAGGTTTGTGCGTAATAAAGTGATTACTAATTCGTTGATGCGTTATACGTTCTAGGCTTGTGCGTAATCTTTATATTTGGAGTGTGTGCGTTTTGTTGGACATATTTGATGGGGTTCATTAATGTTTGTTTTGTTTTAAGTATCCGAAATATATTTTGTTTTGTTTTTTTTTTTTTGTTTTTTTTGTTTTTTTTGGTATTTTTTGGTATTTTTTTTTTTTGGTATGCAAGGTATCTTTGATTGTGATTGGCTTGTCATGTTCTCATTTATTATAATATATATAGTTCACCGTATCTTGTACT